CACACACACACACCTCTTAAGTATTAGAATTCAGTATGTTAGACATGAGCGGCTGCTGTGAGGCCTGCCCTGGGATCCTGAACTAGGGTCGGACCAACATTGCCTTCAGACTGCCACTGGCAGTTGGGAGCCAGCTGCTTCTTGGCACAAGCTCAGAGGAAAACCGACATGACCTCAATGACAATGTGACCTTACTAAGGCCTGGAGTAATTATAATAAAAACTTGCATTTCGGTTTTCACCCCTCACCCCTATGTGTTTTTCTGTATGCATTATGGGTAAGGGCATGCCCAGAAGAAAGATAGTTTCTGGCAATCATCCCTGAATACAAATGAAAGGATTCACCCAGAAAACCTCCATTTTAAACCCAGAAATTCAAGGCCAATCTCTCTCTCTCTCTCTCTCTCTCTCTCTCTCTCTCTCTCTCTCTTTCTCCTGGCATGTGCCTCCTTTGTAATGTATCTTCAATAAACCCCATTTTGCTTTACTTTCATTTTCGTTGACCTTAAAATCTTTTCTATGTCGATGAAAAGAACCGAGGTCCCAGCAGGTAGCCCCAATCGGTAACAAGTATGTATATATACTCTTTTAGAAAACTGACAATGTTTCCTAAGGGAGGATCAGAGACCGATTAAAAAAGTTGGAAACTATAATGTGAGAGTTGAGAATAAATAAAGTCAATTTAAATCAGTTCATATTTGGTTTGTATTCTATACTTACTGCAGCCAAATCTGCTTTCCCCCATTTACCTCTCAACAAAGGCACACCACAGATGGGATACTCAGAGAATAAGGAAACTAACCTTGACTTTTTTCAAGAAACTGAGAAGAACAAGCCATTATCCTAAAGAGTCATGCTTTTTCTGAAGAATTATTACATAATAGGAAAAAGTATTTCTAGTCCCTGAGTATATGTGTTAAATCATGAGCAATGATACTTCTAAGGTCTCATTTTATATATCATTCCTCCAATATATGAGGCATCACCTTTTATGGAATCTAGAGTGCCAGTGACTGAATATTTTGTTCTAAAGGATAAGAGAATGCTACAAGAGAGGCACAATCATTTCTCCTTCTAAATAAGCAGATATGCTTATGGTAGGGTTGTTTCATAGTTTTGATGACAGAAGGAGAGGAAACCACATCTAAGTGACAAACTAATAATCTTAAAAAAATCGAAACAAGAGCTCACAATGATTTTTTTTTCCTTGTATAGGAGTCTGCATGACATATTTAAATAATATTTTTCTGGAGAAAATTTCCCAGCAGGTCTGGACACAATAGAGGAGAGACAAAAACACAAAGGACTGAGGAACAATAAGATAAAGAAAGTGGATTTCAGATCTATTTTCTTTCTGGAAATACCACCTTTAAGACTGTCTTTTTTTTGTATAAAAAATATTTCTTTTTTTTTTCAGTCTTAGGAGTTTTTAGGGGTAAACAACAATATCTCCAGGGGGTCATACTCTAAATGCAAAATACTTTTGGTCAATTGCTAAATAAAGCAATGCTATTTTCTCTAAAATTAAGCAGATAAAAATTATACCCATGCTGATAGCAGCCAAAACATAAACATTCCCATTCATTTACATTATTATAACATAAAGGCATCCTTCAGGAAGTTTGCACATGTATAAAGGATTGCTTTAATTTGCACACTACCCTTCAGAAAAACTTAATATGATACTGAACAAAAATAATTACCAACAAAGCGCACTCATTGAGGCTATATTAAAAAAAGGTAATTGAAAAATAAATTTAACAGAGGGGGGGGATGGCAACAGAAAGCTTTTCTGTAAGTCTTTCAAAGAGCACCTACATTTCTCCTTTAGGCCCTCAGCATGTTAAAAACTCTGTAACGTTAAATGGAAATTAAATAATCCATAAAGGCATGCACTTATACTTTACACTGAGCATAATTTCCATTAAAAATCTATGTAAGGAAACTAGCAGCTAAATCATTTTTTAAAAGTTGGGGTGCCAGACTTGCCTGACCAGCATAAGAGCAAGCTGTGCATGTTTTTATTTTACTGCCAATGGGTGGGCAAGGAATGTAGCTGAGTAACATGCAGGCCAGTCAAAATTCATGTAGAAACTGGTTCTATTGATATATGTACAACTTGCTTGGGTAACCTGGGTAAAAGTGGTGGCACGAGCCTCTGGCTGGTTAAAAAACACCAGCGCTGCGTTCTTGATGGCTCCCGCTCGATTTTACTCCTGTGAGAGGTAAGAATGGTAAGCAGTGAAGGTCACCAGATTGCACTAGTAAATTTCACTTTGAAAAATCAAGCATGCTTTCAACATTATTAAAACTCTCGAGAAAAATCAATCATTCAAAAATCACAAAGTGTAAAAGGAATCACATTAAATAGAGTAAAAATCACATAGGAGTTAAAGCATGCATGATCATGATGAATTTAAAATGATATGCTCTAAAGAATCTACGGAACTATCAAAGAATCACGCGAATTTGGCAAAGACAAAATAGAAGAGTATTTAGTTCAAGCACCTAAACAGCCTCTAGCCCACTTGGTTAATCTACCCTATAAAAAGGAAATCACGTAGGCATTCCAAAAATTAAAAAGTGCTCCATTTTTCCCTTTAATATTTTTAACCACTTAGAAAAGAATATCAATAAGCCTCAAACCATTTCTTACAACTCTACATGCAATATTGAACAGCATGATCCCAGCCCACCAGCTAAGAAAAGGACAAGATAAAAATAACTTGAACACAGAACACTAAATCAGACATTTCAGGTGGGAATATTTGGATTGTTTCAATTCTCTTTTGTTTTCTAGTGTTAGACCTACCACATTAAATACCAAAAGATTAAAGCCTGCACATATTCCCTACCTAAACCATTACATAATCTTTTATTCATTAATGAGTTTATATTTAGGAAGCTTGAGATGAATCCATAATTGAAAAATTCTCCAAATAATACATTTTAACACCCAGGTAATAATCTCTACGGTGGGAAGGACTCCATAGCTGAAGCAATAAAATAATTTTATTTACAAAGGGAAGATCAGTTGTCTGCCTCCAATTCCAAAGTACTGAGGTCATATTTATTATTTTGGAGTACTTAACTCATACAGAAAACAAATGACAAATTTAATGATAACAGGAAAAAATTGGGAAGACAGTTTGGATTTTCCTGCTATAATCCCCAGCTTACTGGATGCTCCTCTAATGTCAAACCTAATTCTTTGAGGTGAGGCACAATACATGTTCTTTTGGGGAAGGTTGAGGCTTTAAAATTTCTGCATGAAGAAGACTGGATGTCAAGTTATCTACACTTCAAAAATTGCTCAAACTTAGCCAAAAGCTTAATCTGACTGAGGACTGAGACGTTTGATTATTTATAATTCATTCGTAGTTTATCTAAGACTCTAAGCATACATAAAAATAAAAATTGACTTCCCTTTCTATAAGGGAAATATTAACTGTTAGGAATAATGTCAAAACAATAAGAGGGGAATAGATATTAAAATGTAATGACCCACTTTTATTTTCTAACCACTGACTTCAGCTTCTAATGATATAAAATACCAGAAATTAGGCCCTACCATTTCAGCATAGACCAACCAACTATGCTTATCCGAAATTTTATTAACCATATCTTAAGATATTCAATCTTAAAATAATGGTCTTATTAGTAAACATTTCACTTCACTAACTACAGTGATTCTTTGCCCTGGGCTATAAGGTTTTAAACTATTTCCCTTGAATTTCATTACTATTCTGTGAAACTAGTAGCTATAACTTTGTTACTTATACGTAATTTTAGTACCTATATTTAAAATTCCCTTGAATTTATGCTAACATCTACTTCTACCTAATCATTGCATTAGTAATACTGTTTAGCTTATAAACCAGAAAGAATAGAAAATGGCATATTCTTTAGTAATTTTATGGAATACATATAAGAATACTGACTGAAATATCTAAAGTTCCCTTCTTAGAAATATATTTTTGTTAATAATTTTTGTTAACTGATTCCTAATTATACTTTGTTCCACTACTTAAATTTTATACTTTAATGCTTCAAATTCCCCCAAATCATCTATCTTTCTTAGAATGAGAACAGTAAAAGAGGTCTTTATTTTCCCTGCCAATCAATTCAAGTGACAAATAAAGATAAATCTTTGGTGTTGGTTGGTATTTTTATTTATTTATGCAAGCTTTTGTTACTGGGAAAGCCATCCATATTTTTGTATAGGTAAACAAATATTGAGGATTTCAATTCTTTTTCTCTTTACCCCAACTCTGCACATATTAACCTATAAACAAACAAAAACATACTCTGATACTCATACTTGTGGTAAACCAAAAACTACTTTAAACTACCAAGACTCTTATTGTAGTTATTAAATGCACAATTTTACATTCTATAAAATATTATGCAGGCACTGGGCTCAATAGAGTTACAAATATTTTTCAGTGTGATTCCTCCTCAATATCTTCACTTCCTTAAAAAATTATTTACTTCACAAAATATGAAAGTATATGTTAATATCAAGCCAAGATTCCAATCAGATTTTTCATGAATAAATATGCTTGTGTAAACTAAATAAAAATCACATTTTATGAAGTATTTCCTAAGAGCTAAGAATATAGCAAAATCAGAATTGGAACTTACCTTCTCGACAAGTATTTTTGATACATATACAAAAATCATTTTGGGAGAATTATAAGGAAGAAAGTGGATAATCTGAGGCATTTTTACAATTCTAAATTTATATTTCAATACTTAGAAAAATTCATATTAATCTGATTTTTAATATTATCAATAATTCAAAATAGTAAATACTTGAAAATTAGTCAGCAGATTACTTGTCTAGCTATGTTTTAATATATCATTGATTTATCACCAATTTGCCATAGAAAATGTATCAATTGATATTTCCTATTTTCTTACTGAAAGAAAACATAATTTTAAATAGTTTGATATTTTAAAGCTTAATACCAAAATATCTTCTTATTTAAAATCTCCTACCTCTTTGCTTTCCTCCATATCTGACTCGCTGCTGAATTCTTCAGTATTTAAATTTTCAAAGTCAGATTCTCCAACAGCAATTGGTACAGTCACAGTGAGGCTGGGGTTGTTTATGAATGACATGTAATCACTTTCATCCACGACATATTTTTCTACACTGCTGCCTATGCCACTGGTAGTTCCATTCCCATCTTTGAGATAATTGAGATCTTTGCCTATTTCTACGGTGGTATGGTTGGAAATACAGCTGTCTTTTTTGTTATTCAGATCTTCAAGAGGTTTAATCTCATCTAAAGCTTTCTGCTTTCTAACAATGGCTTTCTGAATAAATTCATGTACTTTTCTTTTAACATAATCAATTCCTCTCTGCATCCTTCCCACAGCAATCTGGAGATTGTTCATTTCATTATCATCATCAGTGGCAGCAAGGTTGTCAGAACTGAATGAACTCAAAAGCAAGGCCAGGAAGAGGTTCAGAACCTAAAATACAATAGGAAATTAGGTGATCAAAACATTCTGTCATTTCAATGGTTCTTGACTTTAAGTTTTCCAAAATTACTCTTAAACTTAATTTTTTCATAAACTTAATTTTTTTTTCTAGCTCATAATCAACTATCCTAAGGAAAAAAAGTGAATGAAATAAATACCTGGCTAATATAAAATGATGCTATTAACATTTCCTTTTTAGTCATTACAAAATTACTGAAACCATTGTTGCATAATATATATATATATTCACATATATATTAAGTTTCATTCAAAAAGAGAAATATTAGTTATGTAGATAATAGTACAGTGAAAAAGAAAAAACTAGTTTTAGTGGGGATGCAATTTTGCTCATGTAACCTGAATTTTTTAGGACAATAATAATTTATTATAATTTTATTTTTCAAACCAAAGGTAATTCTAATATATTTAAATATGCTTTGATTTTTATGTAATTATACAAATTTTCTGCCTAGATAACTTGCCAAATTAGGAAAAAATATATACCTTTTACTAGATAAAAAAACAGATTATTTATTTTTTGATTCAGAAAATCATGGCCACTATATTTATACAATGGTTGAAAACATTACAAATGAATGTTTACTATAAAATAATGGTGATGCTAACATTGAGTTTAAGATTGTGGAATAAAGGTATTTCCATGAATAAGATCAGTAATTAGTTTGTAAGTCTCATTTCCAACAATAGGCCTCATGGTATGAGTGTGGGAAAAGAATATTAACATATCTTGATTCATGTAAAATTTTGGGGAGCTATTATGTCTGGACAACTCAAAATAGATATGTCAACCTTTCTTCCTACCAAGTTAAAACTTACACCTCAATTAAAGATATTTCAAGTCCAAATTCCTTGACAAAACCTTCCTTGTCATTTTGAGAACTTGACATATGGCACTTTGCATGTATTAGAGGCTTCTTATTTTTACTTCTGTTCGAGTAAATGTATTATCCTGCCCCATATTTATTTTCCTATCATCTTTCCCATGCTTCCAGGACTCAGTACAGAGGTGCTGGGCATGGTTCATTTTACAGAGACATGATAGTAAGTGATTGTTGAGTCAATGTTACTTGCTCATACTCTAGTTTTAGGCACCCAAAACTTCATGTACTCTTAATGGACTGAGAGGATCACTTATTTTTTTTAACTCCAATTTGTGGAAAACTCAAATCTGAAACACTTCAAGTAATACCGTTGTTAGTATTTATAAAGGAAACGAGTGGCTGTTCTTAGTAACCCTTCCATGCTTTAGCATAAGAACTGAAAAATAAAAACCAGAAATGGCCTTCTCCATGACTAATAGGAGGTTTTAGTGATGAAGAACAACTTTGGCTCAAAACGTATCTTAAAAGTTAGTTATAGATCCTTTTGTACGTCATAAGCGTGATGTTGATGCTCTTGTGTGAGATATGCCTCTCTGAAACCTTGTTACATCAGCACATTACCCATATGACGTGAAAAAATATTGTTATATATGTCAATTATATCTCAATAAGAAAAAATAATAATTAAAACACTTCTAAAAATACTTATGTGTGATCCCACTCCTAGGAATATATCCCAAGAAACTAGAAACACCAATCAGAAAGGATATATGCACCCCTATGTTCATAGAAGCACAATTTGCAATAGCTAAGATTTGGAAACAGCCTAAGTGCCCATCAGCAGATGAATGGATTAAAAAACTGTGATACATCTACATAATGGAATACTACACTGCTGTAAAAAAGGAATTTCTACCATCTGCAACAGCATGAATAGACCTAGAGAGCATTATGACAAGCGAAATAAGTCAGTTGGAGAAAGATAAATATCACATGATCTCACTCATTTGTGTAATAATAAACAACATAAACTGATGAACAAAAACAGATCCAGAGACAGAGAAGCATTGATCAGACCATTAAACCTCAGAGGGAAGGTAGGGGAGGGTGAGATAAGGGGGAGAGATCAACCCAAGGACCTGTATGCATGCATATAAGCCTAACCAATGGACACAGACACCAGAGGGGAGTGCATGAGTTGGGGGAGGGGGAGGCAATGGGGGAATAAGGACACATATGTAATGCCTTAATCAATAAAGAAAAAATAAAAATAAAAATACGTGGATTTCAATAGTGTAAACTATAGCTAGCTCCTGAAATAATGAATAATTGAGAATTGGAACTGGCCTTGATACAAAAAACAACATATAAAACATTCCTCAGTTGAACATAGTCTTATATATGGTTACATTATATTTTACTGAAAATGAGAAAACTGTTTTTACATACCACGAGGTTTCCAATGACCATGACCATCATGAAGACAGTAAGGCACATGGTTTGGCCAGCGACCTCCATGCAGTCCCACATGGTCTCTATCCATTCTCCACATAGGACGCGGAACACAATCAGGAAGGAGTGGAAGAAGTCATGCATGTGCCAGCGTGGGAGCTCACAGTCATTGGAGATCTTGCAGACACATTCTTTGTAGCTCTTACCAAAGAGCTGCATGCCGACTACGGCAAAAATGAAGACGATGATGGCCAACACCAAGGTGAGGTTTCCCAGGGCCCCCACTGAATTGCCGATGATCTTAATGAGCATGTTCAGGGTGGGCCAGGATTTTGCCAACTTGAAAACTCGGAGCTGGAAACAAAATCAAGAAAGCTGTTACTGTCCTGTCTTCTAAAGAATCTATAAATCTATTTATGTGGAAAATCTCCAATGTCTCAATTATAGGGTGATGGATTACTTGTGTGTCAAACTATTATCTAGCAAATGTTATCAGCTTATTTTTCTATCATGGGGCACTATTCATTTGGAAATAGATACACCAAATTCCCCAGAATCTTACATAAGCACATGTAATACTTCTTTTGTGTGTTTTTTTTGTAAGGAACTGAGGTATTTAAGATTTAATGGTAATTAACTGTTTCGGAGAAGTAGAAGCTCTCAATATTTAAAAACTTGAAGTGGATATATTTTTTCAGTGTACTTAAAATATCATGCTAAAATGCAAAGATGCAGGTAAAATTCAAACAAATTACATAATGTACAAGAGAAAAAAACTAATTTAAAAAATATATTGCTGTATCTTTAGCTTACTGTAACATTAAGCTGTATTTTAAAGATTTATTATATTCAAAGAAGAAATACTTTGACTTAAGTAAAAGCTGCATTTTGTCAACCTTTATGTCTTCAGTGATTTAATTAATCAACAACTCATTAGGGTGTGTAAATGGCTCTCCACCACTGTGCCTGACTCATTGGTTGTTTTAGCTCATAGAAGCCTCTAAAATACCATTTATGGTTAAACAGCAGCAACATTTTATTTCTGATGCTCCAACAAATGTCAGGCCAGTGGTAGTGCATTATTTAATGGCATCTAAGTGACTCAAAGAATCAAATATAAGTACCATAATGTTTAATTTATTCCCAGAGGATAATTAATGCAAAAATGCCTGACATTCTAAGCAAGATGCTAATGATATTTTGCTTCCCATTTCCTTAAACTGCATCACATTATCACAACGATTTGCTAAACATTTTTTGAAAGAGTTGCCCTATTTACTTTTATGTAATAATTTCTAATGTTTATTCTATTTTTTGCATTCTTCTGACTTCAAATTAGATCCATAGCTCTCTGTGAAGGCTGGGGAAAAAGACCACAGCTCTAAGATCTCAACTCAAATGTGGAATTTGAAAGTGGTAAGGAAAATTCTAAAGACTTCAGAACACTGTCTTGAGACTAATCGTGGCTCAGTTGATTGGAGCAATCTGGTTTGTTTTTCAAATGTATTCAAATAATATTGTGACTATGTAAAATACCATAATGGTTACTAGAAAGGGTGAAAACAGATTAAATTAATTAGAATAATATTATGGATACCCCCAATTAATTTACCAGCCGAAATGATCGAAGAACTGACAATCCTTCCACATTTGCCAAACCAAGTTCCATTAAACTAAGGCTCACGATGAAACCATCAAAAATATTCCAGCCTTCCTGAAAGTAATAATAGGGATCCATGGCAATGATCTTGAGAAACATTTCTGCGGTGAAAATCCCAGTGAAGACCTAAATGAGAAATGTTTATTACATGGGTGAGTAATCTTAAAAACATAAATAATTATTGAGTAATTCACCACTAAGAAATCATAATTCTGTATTTTAAAAATCGGTTTAAGTCCAGCAAACTATTCCCTCAAATGGTTTGTATTCAAATCAATATTTGTTTACTATATTTAAGGTTTATCAAGTGATGAAGAGCGCATGAGTTAAGATAATAAAGTTTACATTCTTATTTTTATATTCTTATATGAAGGGCTCAGCTCACTCATTGTGGTCAACTGCCTGACTCTGCCTTTGATCTCTCTAACCTTCCAAAAACTCGCCAAATGATTGCCTAGTAGTTGGTTTTCTCCCATGGCCCCACAGGGTTGTTAAGTGCTAAGAATGCACTTAACAGCCGTATGTAATAAACATGGTCACCACTCACCCTTCAGATGGTAAAAATAATAAAAAAAAAATTTAAACAAAAATTAATAATGCCCAGCCACTAGAAGCAATATTTTCCATTCTCCATTTTCTTTCTGTACAACTGTATCAATTGATATGTTGTTTCTTAGTTTTAAAAGATCCATATACATATAAAATATAAAGATAAAATGAAACTCCCTTTCTTTAAAATTAATGTTTTATCTTTTTCTTTCTTTCATCAGGCTGCTTTCTTAGGGCCTTAATTGTTTCCAGTGAGATGTTAGTCTCTCGTGTATTACAGTCATGTACTGCTTAAGGACAAGCATGCATTCTGAGAAATGTGTCCTAAGGCAATTTTGTTGTTGTGTGAACCTCAAAAAGTGCACTTACATAAACCTAGTGATACAGCCTACTACATACACATCCAGGCTGTATATTATAGCCTATTGCTCTGTAGGGGAGAAATACATTTTTCCTCTACCCTCTAGGTTCTTGGCTCAGACATTCCTGTAATAAAAGAAATTAACAGGATAAAAAAAACCACAAATGTTTAATAGCACGTATACATAGGTCATCCAGGGAAACCAAAATGGCTGAAGCCACCACCTTAAATACCATCTGCAGCTAGAGACAAAAGAAGATGTTGGGGGTCAGGAGAGTCAGTTATGAAGGGTTACCAGGAAAAGCACAGTAAACAGGGATAAGGTTGTTATGCAAGTTTAAGTCCTGCATCTGCATTGATAAGAATTTCTAGAGATAAGATCATCCCCTCTTCTTGGTATAGCAGGGAGGCACCCTTACAGATGGAAATTTCTTTTACAAATGTAATTGTCTTTTGCAAAGGGTTCTATTTCATCTATAGAGCTCCCTCTGTCTACTGCTTCTTAAAATTAACCAGTTTAAAATAAAATAATCCTTATGCAAGAGAGACATATTTCTGTGTCACAAATTCAGTTTCCCTACAGCTCTTAGGCTACAAACCTACTCAGCATATCATTATATTGAATACTGTTGGCAATTGCAACAGAGTGGTATTTGTGTAATGTAATGTAATGTGCTATGACAATACTATAACTATGACATCATCAGGTGATAGGAATAGTTCAGCTCCATTATAATCTTACTAGAGGCCCAGTGCACAAAAATTTGTGCACTCAGGGAGTCCCTCAGCCGGCCTATGCCCTCTTGCAGTGTGGGACCCCTCGGAGGATGTCCACCCCAGTGGGGACACTCACCCCATGGAGGTTTGGCCAGCCTGGGTGACGGGCTGATGGCTGTTTTCACACTGGCCACACCCTCTTTAGGGTGGGGGTCCCCACTGTAGTGCCTGGCCAGTCTGGGTGAGGGGCTGAGGGCCATTTTCAGGCTGGCCAAACCCCCTGGCAATGTAAGCTTCCAGCCTCTCCTTTTTTTAATTTTTATTTTATTCTGGGATTTATTTACCTTCTATAATTGAAACTTTGTTGCTTTTAGCAGAGGCCTGGGGAAAGCTTGGCTTCCTCCGTCGCCAGGGGCAACCCACTCCTGCTCACTCCAGCTCCTTGGCCACGGCTGGCTGAAAGCAGGTATCTGGGGTTTATTTACCTTCTATACTTGAAACTTTGTTGCTTTCAGTGGAGCTCAGAGCTGGCCGCGGCAGGCAGGGAAGCTTGGCTTCCTCCATCACTGGAGCAAGCAAACCTCCTGCTTGCTCCAGCTCTGTGGCTGCCAGTTGCCAACTTGGTTGGGTTAATTTGCATATAGTTGCTCTGATTGGCTGGTGGGCTTGGCTTAAGGGATAGCAAAGGTATGGTCAATTTACATGTTTGTCTTTTATTAGTGTAGATGGGACTTCCATTGTGGTCTGTCTATGGCTGAAATGTGGTACATAACTGTTTAAAGTATTTGTCTTCTGGCTGTTTGAAAGTTTCTTTTCAGTAGCTTGACTGAGCTGTGTTCAATGTATTTTGCTTTATATTTATTCTTGTTGATGTTCACTGAAATTTTATAATTTGTTATTAAGATGTCTAAGTTAATATTTTTTCAATGGAAAAAAAATTGTCCATTATTTCTTCAAATATTTGTTTTCTTCCATACTCTCTCTCTTTTCTCCTTCTGGATCTCCCTTATACAAATACTAGTGGCCAGGTGCATGAATTTGTGCACATTGAAAGGGAATTAATTAGAAGAAATATTTTAATATAGCTATTCACCCTTTCTCTATAACGGAAGTGTCAACCACATGTGTGCGAGTTTCATATGTATCGTGAGAGTTTCATATGTATCGTGCATGTGTGAGTCAACTTAGCCTTTTATATATGTAGAATCAGCTTGCTTAATTAGACCTGCTTTCTGATTTAGCTAATTTTTTTTTCCAGTCCAGTGAAGCATCCCAACTTCTCTTTCAGGTAATTGTCAGCAACACAAACAGTGGTAAATATCAACATGAAGCAGATTATTATTGTAGATCACACAGGGAGAACAAAGGGTAAAATATTTAACTGTATTTTAAGTGTTTGATTTATATTCTGCACAGTGAGAAAACCTGAAGTCATTTTCAAGGTCCACCATTTATTAGTTCTTTTCAGTTGGGTCAAGTTTCTAAGCTTTCTAAATCTCCATTTTCCAGCTAATGAAAAGAAAATAGGATTCCACTGAGTTTCCTATCTACCTACTCCAGGACTTCTGTGAGGATCAAATAAGATGAGGCATGGGAAAATGCTTCACAGGCATTTGGTTAAAGTGTAAAGTGTTTGCACCTGGCTATAAAGCAAGTCATGTTCCTGGGCTGAAGAAACTGTAAGGAGGCTAGTCCCTAGGGAGAAGAGGCCAGGGGTTGCTAAATGATGTCATTACCCAGCACCCACAGCCACCGTTTCTGGGTGGGGCTGGGCTATGGGCGCATTTTAAACCATAAGGTCTTGGCAGCATCAACTGTGATTTGGTGGGTTGTTGCTTCAGGGTAGTGGTGGAGCCTGTGTCCCACTTGTGAGAAGCCGAGTGTTGCTTGGTGGGCGCTAAGTCCATAGTGCCGTTTCTCTGTAAATGGCCAGTGCGTGTCACGGCAGCTCCTGCATTGAGCATCTGTCTCCTGGTGGTTAGTGTGTGTCAGAGTGACCGGTCGGATGGTCTGACACTTAGCATATTAGCCTTTTATATATATAGATTAGGCCACTCAATAGTATTCTACAGATTACTGAGACTCAAATTTATTTTTTCTTTCATTTTTTTCTGCTGTTCAAATTAGATAATTTCTATTGATTTGCTTTAAGTTTAACAACACTTTCTTCTGACAAGCTGTGCTTCTCCTAGAAAAGTTGTAATTTCTGTCAGTTGCCCCTCAGACCCTGTACTTAATTAGCACCAGACAAAGCTGCACCAAGTACCACTTTATCAGGCAAAGGGAATTTCTCAACCTTAGTGCAGACACAGTTAAGCACCAGAAGGACTGCTTGGTGACCTTACCCTCATTACAACAGTAAAACACACACCTGGGTGGATATTTAACATGCTAATGAGACAGTCCATGTAGGAAGAAGCATGTAGTTCCACTGCACAGGTGCCAAAGAGTCCCTGCCTCTAAATATTAGACTTCAGGCTCCTGCCTTTTAAAACTGTTCCCAGCTTTTGTTCTGGAAGCAGCAACCATTTATTTCCCCATTGGACACTGTTTCCCTTGTGAGCACAATCTATTTAAAAAACCTTTGCCTGAATCCTGATTCTGTGGTTACACTCTTGATTTCTATCGTGTGAGTTCCCAGGAACCCAGGGCACTGGTTAAACATCCAGTGAGTTTTTCATTTTAGAATTTGTACTTTTCAGTTCTAAAATGATTGCTTTTTATAGTTTTCATTTTTATATTTATACAAATAAAAGAGTAATATACTAGTTAGACTGGAGACCTCCCGGAGATCTTCCAGACGTCCTTCTGAACAAACGGCCCTCACCCAGGCCAGCGTGCCCCCCACAGGGACTCTCACCCTTATGGGGGCATGGCCAGCCTGCAAACAGCCCTCAGCCCCTTGTCCAGGCCCATCCCACCCCCAGCAGGGACCCTCACCCCAATGGGGGCATGGCCGCCTACAAACAGCCCTCAGCCCCTTGCCCAGGCCAGCCATGCCCCCTAGCGGGGACACTCACCTTGATGGGGGCATGGCAAGCCTACAAATGGTCATCAGCCCCTTGCCCAGGCCGGCCACACCCCCGAGCAGGGACCCCCACCCCAAAGAGTGTGTGGCCAGCCTAAAACGGCCCTCAGCCCCTTGCCCAGGCAGGCATGGCCCCCAGTGGGGACCCCTACCCTGATAGGGGCATGGCAAGCCTGCAAACCACCCCAGGCCCCTCGCCCAGGCCGGCCCTGCCCCCCAAGGGAACCCCTACCCTATCCGGGACCCCCTTCAGGGCAGACCAGCTGGCTCCCACCCATGAACCAGGCCTCTATCTATACGAATAAAAGGGTAATATACTAATTAGACCAGGAGACCTTCCATATGTCCTACCAGACAAAGCCATGGTGGTGGAGCCGAGGCAGAGGCGGTTAGGAGCGATCAGGCCAGGAGAAGAGGGCAGTTGGGTGTGGTAAGGTCAGTGGTGGGGGAGGGAGTTGGGGGTGAGCAGGC